CACCATCTGGGATCCCATGATTGATCACCTGGAAGAAACCCCATGTCTCTGATGCATCCCGGACTTTGTCCATTACATGTTTACGGGAAACAGGATCTTTTTCAACACCATCAAGATCTATAACAGGAATACAGAATTCAAACTTTCCGGAATCAGAAACCTTGTCGAATCCATCCACTGGGGAAAAGAAAATCCGAGGAACCTTGGTGATTCCAGCATCAACCAGTCCCTTAACACCTGCTTTCGTCTCATCAAAAGCTATCAACTCGCTTATTCTGTCATAGATTTGCTCCTCTGCAACTTCAGTTGAGCTGGAGGATTTCATTTTCCTTTCCTGAAGGGAATTAGATCGCAAAGTAGATAAAAAGCAAATTGACAGTCAAATACCATCAGCAAGAGAAGCAGAATCATTAACTTCTAATAATATATAATACCAATATTACTTATTTAAAAAATGGGTTATGAAGCAGTTCAAGCATCATTGACAGTGAAAGCCAATCTACTTTCTTTGACGAACGGTTCAAAGCACTTGCAGCAGGCCTACCCTTCTCCCGATGCTCTGTCAATATAGAGTTCTGTACCTCAAGACAAGCGTGGACCTGTACATTTATTTTTTTGTCTTTTGTGAGTGAAAAGTTAAAAGCGTAATTTTTTAAAATATAAAAAAAATTATTCGTTATTTAAAAATATATATATATAATATTAATGAAAATATGTTAATACGTATTTTGATACTTTGAAAACATCTTATAATTATATAATTATCAATGTTGTTAAATAAATTTTGTTAGTTATATAATTTTGTTTACCATTTCATTGATAGATGTTGAGTTCACGGCGAGTAAATCAAATTGGATGTAGAAAATAAATGAATTGAAATAAAATTCATATTTAATCTAGGAAGTAAATGATTTAATCTCTAACGATTCTAAAATTTTTGACGTCATATTTCATGTAACAAAATTTAATAAAATGATGTAAATTATATTAAAAAATTTATTGTGCAAAAATAATAAACACTAATGAAATAATTAAAAAATTTTAAAGAAAACACAAGATAGACACATCTTTTAACACATATATTTGACGCATATTTAACTATTTTTTATATCCGTTTGGACCATGCAATATGACTACGATGTAGTTCTCGAAACGAGCTTCTAAATGACGTTGGCGATTTGTGAATTCGGATAGTGTACGATCACTAGCGAATTTTGAAAGTTAACATATTATCAAAATTTTCGAAATGCTAGTTTGGAAATGCCTACTTTGATATGTCATAATGTTTGCTATGATTGGTCGTTTCGCACACCATTAACAAGCGAAAAACTAGGTCATGAACACTTCGAAATTGTATTAAAAAT